AACGTGGACTGACCCCTGATTCTTATACACTTGCCTCAATCATGTCAACTTTGTGTTTATGCAAGGAGTTCACCCTCTTGCCTGTACTAATCAGTGGATTAGAGATAATACCCGATTTAGTTGTGTGTAACTCATTTCTGAGTTTCTATTGCAAAGCTGGTTATCCTCGTGGCGCTGTTGAGTTTTATAATGACATGATGCATAGAGGTTTCCTACCCGATAACTATACATTTGCTGGATTATTGAGTGGGTTATGCAGGGTAGGCAAGATTACTCAGGCAGTTGATGTGTATCAGGGAATCATCAAGAGTCAACTCAGAATTGATGCTCATATTCACACTGTGGTCGTTAATGAACTTATTAGAGCTGGTGAATTTCGTCAAGCTATCAGATTATTTCGGAATGCCGTGGCCGAGAAGTCCCAACTGGATGTTGTTTCATATACTGTTGCCATTGACGGACTAGTCAAAGCCAGTCATGTTAGAGATGCGTATGTTTTATTTAATGAGATGAAGGACATCGGTTTGGCTCCAAATATATACACTTACAGTGTGATGTTGTCTGGATTGTGCAAGGATGGAGATCTTGGAACAGTAAAAAAGCTGCTTGCCGAGATGATTGATGGAGGCATTAAGTTCAACCATATTAATTTTAGGTTGATGAAGAACATTTTGAGAAAAAGGTGCCATTCAAGCTTAGTCCCCAAGTTACTATGGGAGTTGTGGGATTCTGGGTGTGTTCCTAAGAATACACTGGCACCCGTGTTTGATAAAGATGTTTATGATTGGAATGCTAAGGATTTGCATTTTGATTACCCCTCGCTTGTTTGTGACGACACATCCAGCTCTGAAGACATTCCTGATGTAGCTGCTTCGGTTGGTTGATCGTGGATGATTCTCTGTCACAAAGCTTCAACTGATTCCCGCCCTGAAGTTTTGTTTTGAATTCTCTATGAGAATGAAAAGCACCTCGGTCAGAGAACATTCTCCCTTTTTCCAAAAACCAAAATCATGTCGCATCGCGGTACACCTATGTAATTGTGGTAAGGTATCACTACTACAACATTGACATTATACATCGCCCATTACACAACGGTTATCTAAAAAATGCTGTCTAAGCCCTCCCCTAAAAAAAGCATGTGCTTCTCTTTTGTGAAATACGTGCAGTAATTTTTTTTCCTTTCACACATCGTATTTTTCAGATTGCGCTGTGTAATCTGGAGCATTATTACTCTCTCTTTTTAGTGGAGAAAACCTAAACCACCAGTATATTCTCTCGTTGTTCTCTCTTTTCTCCCAATTAGCAATTAAGCAGAGAAAACCTAAATTGCCGTCTCCAATTTTGATCTCGCCACCCATGGGGAATACTCTGATGGTGCTAGGGTAGATGATGGCAACCTTGAAGCAAGAACTTCCCACTCCCTTGAGCCTTGAGGTATGTTTTCTTTCCCAAATCTTTTAATTTCTTATATGTTTTGATTTTTTTCACTATAGGTATGTGATGTGAACTATTTTTATTTTATTTATTCATGTTGGAAGAGAGCGTCAATGGGACTATTATCGAAGAGAAAGTTGAAGATGTCTGCAAGTTGTTTGATGAAATGCCATAAAAAAGCCAGTTTTGTAAAACTCTTCAGTTCAAGAAGAATAGGGATGCTGACTCTAAAATGAAGCTCTTCAAGTCGAGAAAACCCATCCCAACAGAGCAGTATCCTTAATGAAGACGTGCTTCCTGTTGAAGAGGTATGGGGTTTTTGCTTGATTGGCTATTTTATTGGAAAGTAGCCAGGGTTTAAGACAAAAACTGATTTATGGATGGCATGTTCCCCATGAGGTCATCCCTCAACACAAAGGATGAATCTTTCTTAAATTTGAAAATAAATAAGATAGGATCAAGGTTGATTCCAATTGTCCCTATAAGATCAACAACCAAAGATAGGATCAAGCTGAACATTGACTCTAACGTTTTCACTAGAATACACAAAATGCTCAGGGTTTTGGAAGATGAAAAAGGCCACTTTTAATAAGGAATGAAAACAGTCTCTAGTAATGCATCATATTGTGGTGCCCCCAATTTTCAGTCCTGTTCAACTTTTTCTGTTATTATATCTTTAAGTGCTTAGATTTTCTATGTCGCTGGTTATTGCATATTTTATTAACTAATTATTTTCATTTAGAGAAACTGAGCGCAAAGTTATGATCCTGATTTGCTGGAAAGAATATAGTTGACCATCATCAAAAACCTGATCAAGTATCACCCAGTGTGTTTACCTAATTCATTTCCTTATCCTTTGAATCCTAAAGCTAAAAAGAACAGGACTGGATTGCATCATTAGTATCTTTCTCTGCACTTCGTATTTCCCATGATTGTTAGATTCTCTCCTTGATAATTGCTAGCTTATTGTGCCATCAGGAGTCTAGGGAGTGGCTTGCGATGGGTGAAGCATTGGGAATATAAGTACCAGGAGGAACTTAAATATGTTGTGGTATTCTCATGCTAAATTTTAGTTTGTTATATTTTTGAACTTTCATCGAAGTTCTTTTTCAGTAATATAGGTTGACCTAACATTTTAGCATACATGAGCCTTTTTTTTGTTCTAGCATGCTATATGTCGAAACTGTTGATCGATCTCGGCTACTAATGGAAATAATCAAAATTATGGGTTAATGGGTTTTTTATGTTTCAACAGATTAAAATATACTCTGTAGGATTTTTAAGGCAGGATGGATGCATCGTTATTTTTTTATGTTGTGCGACTATAACCGGAGCTTTCAAGCACCATCAAGTGATCAACAAGGATTGATGGTACGTGTTTTCAAACACACTTTTACAAGAAATAAAGAGGTTAGATTCTTTTTTAAGTTTCAGGTTGTGATATGTTATTCTATTTGCTTATTTATATTTCTCTCTATGTTTTTTGCTTGAACTGTCGATGATGATATTGTCTGGAAAAAGCCAACTTGTAAGGGTTCTGTAGCGTATACTTTTCTTGTATGAAGTGAATTGTAGCCCACAGCAGATCGAACACTTCCCATTCTTCCAATTTGAGTTGTACCTAGAATTAGTTTTAATTTTTAAATTTGTAGTTATGTTGAGAAACTTATTTATTCTTCATAACTTGTGATCAATGATCTTGTTATGGCCCACACAATATTTGCCTTAACACAGTTGTCTTTTTAATTGCATGATAACATTTGAGGTCAATATATATGCATGTTTTTAGTGAAATCATGTGTAAGGTGGTCAACTGATATAATGCTTGCAGTACCAGTTGTTTTCCGCTCTGTCGTTTCTCCCTCATTGGTTCATTTCTTTCAGGAAATTTATTCTCAAATGTTTTCCTATTCTTCCACAAACAGAGGGTGCACAATATAGTTAAAAGAATGGATTGGACAAAAGGTAAAATCTGCAGGAAAACAATAAGAATGAGCTAGAGATATTAGAAAAGCAGAGGCATGATGATTTCTTGAGCATGTTGAGGGGATATATTGTTAATCAGGTATCTTTTCTTCATTTATTGTTTCTCTAGTCTTTCCACAGAAAGTGCGAGGTTGTGAGTGATGGCTAGAACTTTCTCTCCCTAGGCATGGGTCCGTGGTGGGGTTCTTTGTAACACTACTTTCCTTGAACCCCTAGGGTTTCCATTACCTTTTATTGTGGCTAACTATTGTAGAATCTCAGGTGCATAACTTGTTTATAATGGCAATTTTAACTTAAATGTTCTTTGTTATATGTGCCTCTAAATTAAGGTGTATTGTGGTTTGTGACTATCAAACTTCTATTTGCTTAACATGTAAAGGTTTATAGATGTAGAAATTTGAAGGAGATGCAATGGGATAAAGCCAGATGCTGATTATGTTGTGGAGGTTGCTGTGTCTTCACTGAAAACAACAAAACTGGTGCAAACTTAAAGGTTGGTGCTAATAAGCTTATGAGGATTGGAATTTCAATTGTGATATGGTTCTTTTTTATTTTAACAAAGGGGCTTGGCTATTGCTTGGCTGTTGGATGGAAGACTTTTGTTTAACTACTTGGCAGCTTGTTTCTAGATCTTGTTCTAAATATTCTGTCTACACTTTTATTTTCAGGAGAATGCTTTATGGTTTTAGAGTGTGGTGATGGTAGCTAGGCTAATGCTTGAGAGTATTAAGACTGGGTTTAGGCCTTTGGTTTTCTAGTTTCTATCCTCCAGGACTTTGGTCATGCACTTGGTCTTCAACTTCGCAGGGTTTCCAGGGTGTTTCTGCAATAAAGGGGCTAATCCGGATCATTTTAATGGTGCTCAGTAATGGTATATGGTCTAAAAATTCAGCTACACTTTGTACATCCATCTTTGAAGCAAGGAGACATGTCGGGGGATCATTTGGACCATTGTGATTGCAACATATTTGGGAAGATAAAATGAACATCGTCTTTTCTTTTCATGCCAATCAACTGGATAAAAGCTTATGAAGGGTGCCATACTGCCACTTTAATTTCGTTTGTACTTATTTTTGTTCATTTTGGAATTTCCTTAGCTAGCGTGTGTTTTGTTGTTATTGAGACTCCAATAGTACACAATTGTATTGAGGGTCTTCCCCTCTTTTCTTTTATTAAACAAGTGTTCTTTGTTATTAATATTGAGCATAAATTACACACACACACAGATATATATATATATATATATATATATATATATATATATATATATATATATATATATATATATATATATATATCCGTTGAGTAAAGTTTACACATCGGATGATTATTCGTTGTATAAAGTAAAAAACAAGCGCTGCCTATGTAGCCGATGGGAAAGCCATCATGTTTACTCATCGGAAATTTATGCGATGTGTAAAGTTTACACATCGGGTAAATATTCGCTGTGTAAAGTTTACACATCGGAAGAATATCCGCTGTGTGAACAAGGGAGCTTTCCCATCGGTTGCATAGGTAGCGCCTCTTTTGCGATGAGAAATGCCTTATTTATCCGATGTGTAAAGTCCCTTTTGTAGTAGTGTACGTAGCTCTTGTTTCTAATCCATCCTAATGTATTTTGACAAACCACACCCATACTTTTTTTTGTTGCAGCCCCATTTTAGCCCATTTGTTTATAGAAGTTGTTGCTAATTTAGTCTCTAAGTTTTTCACAACCATTTTAGGCCATGTTCTCTTCACCTGATTTAATTGGTTCTGATCTGACTAGAATAAATTTTGATCATATCTGGTTTGATCTGATCTGAATGTAAACAAACATATTGGATAAAGAGAAGTTTATACACATGTTTTGTTCTTAAGATCAAACTTTCTATAGCGTAAAGAGAAGCATACCATATTTTTTACAAGAGGGATAGTCTGTTGCATATAAGTCAAAAAGTTTCCTGGCTTATTGACATACAGAACCATACCAAATATTTTATAAGAGGGATGTTGAACTGCATTTTCATATGTATGTTGTTTAGTATTATTGTACTCCCCTCATAATTTTTATTCATAGGTCAAACTAACTCTACTTTATTTATACATTTTCATAAACTATTTGATAAAATAAAATAACCTTATCACCACTTGTTTTGTAGAATTTTTGATGTAATTTTTTAATAAATAATTTTTATTTTTAAATTCCACACTAATTTTTACTTGTATAGAGGGAGTATATCATGCAACAGAGGTATGTCTAGTCTAAGATAATGTCGTGTAAATAAGGCTCATAAAGAAGTTCAATTAGATTATTTAGATCAAAGTATTAAAGTGCAAAGTAAAGCTAATTGTTGTGTATATAAGATGTTTTAATCCTATTGGTTCATGTGGTGAGTTTCTACTTTGTACGAATACCTTTGGCTCTTGTAAGAGACATTTGTTGCATTTAATTTTCACTTCTGATATTAAAAAGTAACTGATTATATCTCAATACCATAACAGAATATTTTAAATTTATTAAATCAAATTTACAAAAATAAGAGGTTAATCAAACTTAATTAAGTGACTTTTCCTTAGCACTTTTATCAGTTTTGTCATATCTATTTATGTTCAAATGAAACTTTACAAAGTTTTGATGTGTGAATGCCTATAAGAGCTGTGCATCACACTTTTGAAATGAAACAAAATTTTAGAGACTCACTTTTGTTATTGGCTAAAAAACGTAGTGTTCACTCTCGACCAGTTTTTGAAATATTGTTTTTGAACAATACTCAATGATTGTTCATACGTTCACCCTAACTGAAACCACTTAATGTCAATCAGATTTTTTGAAGCATAGATAAACATATTATTGATTTAATTCTCTTCCCTTACCCTTTTTGAAATCAAAGAAAAGTGTAAACTTAATCCATGGACTCATAATTCAAATAAAATCAAATGAAACTGTAAAAATTCCCAACAAGGAATCAACAGAGAGAAGAGAAGAAAAAAAGAAGAAGAAATTAATTCTCTTGAAAATCAATTTGACACTAATTGATCAAGGTGTATGATTTAATTTCAATCTAAGCACGTGCAATTGAAATGAAACAGGAAAGAATCTAGTGGAAGGAAGAGATGGAAAAAAGAAAATAAATCTTTACCTGGAGGCCGAAAAAGAAGCCCTAAAGTGCGAATTGGTAGTGGAAAAAATAAATAAGGGCGTTGTGGTCATGGGGCGGTGAAGAAGATCAAGATTGTGGGGCGGTGATGGGAAGGGATGTCGGGAGAAGGAAACGGCTACAAAGGAGAAGAAAGATAGGATGGAAGAGAGACGGCGATATAGCAGAGAGAGATTACGGAGGAGACGTTAAAAGTACAAAAAATAAAGGAGTAAACGTTCTAGGGTCTTATAGTATTAGGGGGATATAAATTCCGAATTTGTGAAGACTGGAGACCGGAACTGAATCTTTCAACGTTTGGTGTTTGTTGTACCAGGTATACCATTGAAAAAGTATGGACAAGAAACGAAGTATTTCAAAGATTACAACTGGAGCAGCCGTGAATGGATGAAGGAAGTCAGGCGACCAACAGTGGATGGTGCACTTACTAGCAGGGGGAGGAGGTGTTGATTGCAAGGAGTTTTGAGGATCTTTTTAATAGCATGAAAAGAAAGTTTTGAGGTTGCTTTCTAGGCCTATGAGTCTTTCCAAGGGGAATTTCATAGTGAATGTGGATGTTTTAGGGGAACCATTTGTGTGAGACCTGACCTGCAATTGTGGATGCAGACACATTATTGACTTTTGGGTGCTGAATAATCAATTATGGAGTGCAATGGATGGTGTAGGCTGGGGATTTTGCTTTTTTCCCCTTCTAAATCCAAATCCACACAAATCATGCTTCTTTTGGGTATGTCTTCTGCCTTGTAGACTTGTAGCAAACAACTAGGAAAAAGCCATATGGTTTGGATATCCAGATATCACTCTCTAAGGTATGCCCCCAAGTTAATTACTCCCTCCGTCCCAAAATTTAAGCAACAGTGACTATTTCGGCCCCTCAATATTTTTTGTTTGTTTACTTATTTTGATTACCATTTGATATTTTATAAAACTTTTGATTTATTTTTGAACGGTGTAATTTTTACTTTTTATTTATCTACTAATTTGTAAATAAAATATTTTTAAAGAAATATTTTAACAATATAGATTAACTTTGAAAATATTAATTTCTTCAAAGAGTTTTTTTAAGGGTGGTGATAGTCACACCCCATCCAAAAACTAGCATCACTCCACATACTAAATTCACTCCATTAGTTTCAAAATTATTTTTAATACTTATTCAAAAAAATATTTTTAATCCATGAACTCATATACAACATTTTGCAATTTTAAGATTTTGATAAAAGTTCTAGTTTGAATCATAATATAATAATAGCTTAATAATCATTTTTTCTACTAAATACGTAGTATATTTTAATTATTAAATATGATATCTTTTTAAAATAAAAATTTTAGTTTTAATAATAATTTACATTCATTAAAAATTATATAGATGTTTGCTATTGAAAATAAATAAAAGAAAATAATGATGAACAGTTTTAAAGATTATACTCCGTATAATTTTTTTAAAGTAAAATTTATATAAACTTCTTTTTAAAATAATAAAATAACTATGTAGATTGAAAAATGGTGAAATACATATTGATATAATACTTAGAAAATAGAAGATTTTATGCAAAATCAATGGTCATTCAATGTATTAACAATAAAAGTTATTTTAATTAATGAAATATTAAAAGAAGAGGCGCCAAAGTTTTATAATTAAAATTAAAACTAAAATATATATTATTTTATTTGAAAAATAATAAAATGAACTAAATGATGAATAGTTTTAAACATTTTTTATAATATGTTTCTAACATAGTAAAGTTATATAACTTTTTTGAATAATAACATAATAATATAGTCATGATGCATTTAGTTGACGGGTGTATTCAATATTTTAATGGGTGTGACTATCACACAGTAGTAAGTTTGTCAAATTAGCTAATAGATATATGAACTTTTTTAGAGTAAATCTACTCTGCAAAAAGAACACATATTTAAATTGGAAAAAGCTATGTGAACCCCGGTTTTGTACACCAGGGGTACACCATATAAAAGGCCAACCCCCCACCCCTTATCCCTCTCACCCTCCCTTATCCCTCTCACCCACGTAGTCTCTCTCCCTCTCTGTTCCCAATCAGCCTTCTTCTTCGCCGATCAACAATTCTACTCCCCTTCGCCGCTTCACTCCGGTACCCAAAAGCTCCAGCCTTCATCGTCTTTTTCATCCTGGCATCTTCATCTTCCTTTTTCTCTCTGCGACGTCACCCTCCACTCCAAATCGCCTCTGAGGATATTCACCAGCAACTTCACACTTCCGCTCCGGTAAATCAAATTTATATGGTTTTTGATATAAATCAAATTTTATTCTGTTCATTGTTAGATCTGATTTTGTTCATTGTTGGTGGAAATTTTGACTTCCAATCCCATTTAGACAAAAATCAAATTTGATTTTTTTCACAGATATGATTTATTGATGCACTTTCCCAATTTCAGTTTTGTGTTGCAGCTTTAGGTAGTTATTTCATCTATGTATGTTGAATGGTTTGTGACAAGAGGTCTAGATTTTTTATCTACATTCTCACAGACACACTATGTTTGTAAAGAAAATATTACAGACACGTAATGTCTATAACACATTTGACTGACACTAGTATGACTTAACAAATTTAGAATCCCTCCCAAAAGTTCACCAGTATCCCTCAAGAAGTATCCTTCAAGCTTACTCATCTCATTCTGAATTGGTGCAATAATTGAATATGCTCATTTGATTCCTATAGCTTCTAAAACGTGTTCCAAACAAAGTGACATTTCTTAATTGTTTGTTTGTTAAGTTTCAGAGTTGGACTTATATTCCCTTGTGGTTGCTTTTGATGTAGAAGATTGGAAGTTGGAAAATTGGAGGTAGTTGTATTTGGAATTTTACTATGTTAAGAACCTCATTTGGGTTTCATTGAAGTTACCCAGACATTATGTGTCATTGGTAAACAAGTACAGATATTTAGTGTATGTGAATTACTTACTCATAGATGAACATTGTTGATTACATTTATTTTTTCTAATAGATTGAGAAGAAGTGAAGAAGTCAAGGAGTGATGACATTGATGACATTTATTTTTTCTAGACTTATGTTCTTGGTTTAGCCAAGAAGTGAAGAAGTCGCCTTTTTCAACGGACCATGGCATCTTCTTCTTCGACTTCCAACTACCGTGTGAAGAAGGAGACAAGGAGACAATATGAATTAATTTCTTCCAACTTGAAGATGGCGAGGCCTGAATTAGATCTACGTTATGGTACGGTAAAGTGTGATTGTTTGCTGTTACAAATTTTCGTACGGATTACAACGGACGGGAAAGATGAACGGCCCCGGTAATAAAAATAAATAAAATTCTGAATTTATAATTTATTCAGAATATTACAAAATAAACAAAGTTGAGAAAAATTGCTATATCTTCAAACGGCCTTGTTGTACGAGGACATTAAGGACTGGGCAGTGAGGACGTTAAGCACTGGACAGCGAGGTCTTTAAGCACTGGGCAGCGAGGTCTTTAAGCACTGGACAGCAAGCAAAGGACGTTATGCACAGGGCTGCGAGGACATTATGCACTGGGCTGCGAGGACATTATGCACTAGGACAGAATGCAGCGAGGTCTTTATGAACTGAAGCTGCAAAAACACAACACCGTGGAAGGACAGCGGAGTCGCCGGAGCTGTCCTTAAGGTAGTAGTGCCCGCCTACCGTACCGGAAAACGTGGGCACTCTCCTCCCAGGATAAAACCGCTATCGTGTGTGGAGATTGTACGGACCAACCACACACCAACGAACAAGAACAACGTAGGAACGTTGACGACCAAAAGAAAATAATAAAGTGTTTTCTCTTTTTTTCTCTCTTCCTCACGCAAGGCACACACAAAACAAATGAGAGAGCCTTTGATTTTTATAATAAAGGAGTTTAAAAAGTTGTAACTCCTACACCATTAACCCATTGAATTAATCATGGCATTAGTGGTGTGTTAATGGTGATTAATTAGCCATTAACACGTCCGTTACG